ACATGACCTTACTCCACCACTGCACCATTATGCATGACCTTACTCTCCACCACTGCACCATTATGCATGACCTTACTCCACCACTGCACCATTATGCATGACCCTACTCTCCACCAGTGCACCAACATACATGACCTTACTCTCCACCACTGCACCAACATACATGACCTTACTCTCCACCACTGCACCATTATGCATGACCTTACTCCACCACTGCACCAACATACATGACCCTACTCTCCACCACTGCACCAACATACATGACCTTACTCTCCACCACTCTCCACCACTGCACCAACATACATGACCTTACTCTCCACCTGCTCTGCTGTAAAGTTTTTTAACGCATAAACTTTATTAGTCATGTTCTTCCACTTAGGAAACATATCGGCAGACATTCCGCTCTGTCCCTTGTATTGTGCTGTAAGAGCTTTGGAAGGAGTTTCAGCACCTCTGTTGGCGGAGAGCTCCCTGTACATTAGATGTCTGTCATCCGGACAGCTGCTGCCTTTCAGAATCCAGAATTCATGTTACATAAATGAAAATGTACAATGAGCTGACATGCTGATCATCGGTGAGCCGGTGTGTCCCGACAATGGCCCCCAAATGTCTATGCAAATTACGGCCACTAGAAGGTCCGACTGATATTCATTAGAATCCAGCCTAGTGGGCCAGTGAGGAGCCCCCGGGGGGATACTATCTGACACTGAGAGACTGAGGGGGCAATCTATCTATCTATCTATCTATCTATCTATCTATTATCTATCGATGATCTATCTATCTATCTATCTATCTATCTATCTATCTATCTATCGATGATCTATCTATCTGTCTATCTATCTATCTATCTATCTATCTATCTATCTATCTATCTCTCTCTCTCTCTATCTATCTATCTATCTATCTATCTATCTATCTATCTATCTATCTGTCTGTCTTTCTATTATCTTTCTATCTATACATCCAGCTATCTATATATGATCTTTCTTTCTTTCTTTCTTTCTTTCTTTCTTTCTTTCTTTCTTTCTTTCTTTCTTTCTTTCCTTCCTTCCTTCCTTACATCCATCTTTCTTTCTTTCTTTCTTTCTTTCTTTCTTTCTTTCTTTCTTTCTTTCTTTCTCATATTATCTACCTCTTTATCTATCTTCAGTCAATATTACATCTATTTGTTTCATCGATCTTTAATCCAATACATTCCAATCTATCATCATAATACTTTTCCAAAACCGTCCTTCTTCCTCACTTTCGTCATCCTGTTTTTCTCCCTATTCCCCCTTCATCTAATAATAATGGGGACGCTGTTAATGTCACCTATGACGTTGATCTCTCCCATTGTTCCATTC